TCCTGCAAAAAAAAAAAAAAGTAAATAAAAATAAAAGGTGAGAAAAAGTAATATATTTAAGAGTCTTGTAAGAATGCATTTATAAAGCAGATAAAGAAAACTTCCTTGCCCACATTTGCATTTAGAAGAGAAAAAGGCAAAAATAAGAGAGAAGTGAAGTTAACTGTAAGTTATAGCTTTCTTAAATGACAAATAAGTACCGCTGAAATTCCAGTGCACATGAATGATTGTGATATTTAGGAGCATATTTGAAATTATGAGTGACTGAGCATTTAAATGTGGTTGTAGGACACCACACTGAAAGAAGAAAACGCTCTAAAATGGATAAATAAAAACTGCCACGTTCTTCAAAAAATAGGATCTCTGTGAAAGAAGACTGGCAAATATGTGCTGCAACAGGCTTATTAATCTACTTTGGAGCTCTCTTCCAAATACTCTTGACATTATTTAGAATCCATTATTCCCTAAGACTTTTTTTTTTGAAGAGGAAACTATGTATGTGGAGTGGAAAAAATTAGAGGAAAGAGGAGAATTGCTGCTTTCTCTGTCTCATGTTCTTTATTAATAGAGCATGGAAATGTTTTAAATACTAGGAACTTAAGGACTTTGAGCTTCTGGAAATTACCGCAACAGTACCACCCCCAACTAGCAGGCACGACTGCTGCTCATTTCTAGGGAACAAATCCTCTTTCCTACATTGCTGAGGAATGTTTTTGCAAAAACAGTGCGTTGTCAAAAGCCCTTTTATACATCTGAAAGGGTAAAACAGGAACAAAAGAAAGATCTAAAGAATGATCTCAAGTAGTTTGTGTATGTTCAGTCACATGACTTGTGCAACACATGGTGAGATTTATACAGTATCCAGAAAGACATCAGGAGGCACAGCCTTGGACCAGGTGTCATTCCAGGGCTGCATCACGTGAAACTCATCTCTGTGGAAATTGCAAGACTGAATACTTTTGTAAGATGATTTTCTAGCCTGTAGGAAAAATTCTTCTAAATCTCACTTGTAAGGCTGCATGTTTCCTGGGGACCGAAATCTCCACTCTGTGGTGCACTCGTTCACATGTTTTACTTCTAGCCATTTCTAGCTTACTCATAAATTTCTCCAACGTCAATTAACAGAAATATCACTTAAGAGAAATGCATATATGTTAATATAAATAAATGCATGTAATTAAAGTCACTTATAGCATCACAGCTCTATGACAAAAGTCCTGCTTGGTGAGTTTAGGTAGAACATTATATTCTCAAATATTCCATGTGGCTATTATTTTCAAAATAGGTTAAAAAAGAGTCATGAGATACAGTAATATGTAAAGATGAACTTTTAAACCTCAATCACAAGAGGCACAAACTCTATGTTTCAGCATCATGAATGGAATCTTTGGTTAGAAACCAGAAAGTTAGGGCCGGGCAAATAGCTCAGTGGGTTAAAGCCCCTGGTATCAGTCTCAGGGGCCTGGAGTTTGATCTCCCAGCCTGCCGTGGTGGCGCCGTCCCCAGGGCTTGCTGAGACAGCAATTGAGCTGGGTGTGGTAGCGTGCACCTGTAATACCAGCTCTTGGGGGACTGTGCACAGAAGAATCACTACAAATCCAATCTAGTAGAGAGACCCTGAACACCTTATAGACCCTTCCTTAAAATACAAACCCCCCAAAAAAAACCAGAAACCAGAAAGTCTTGCAAATGTTTCCCATCATGAGAGAGAAGTCAGCATTCAGGAGGAAAGAAGGCTAAAGGAGATTTGTTTCTCCACATGACGATCTCTGAATCTGTGAGGAAGGGGCTGTTATTTCACAGTTGAAGTGATACTTACATCATGGAGAGGGTAGGCAGAGGAATAAGTGTTAGAATTTAGCAATCTTTCAATCCCAAACTTCTTTTTCCCATCTTCTATGCCAAAGGGACACCGTGAGAGAATGTAGTACACCTAGAAGTAGGTGAGAGTCACTAGTATTCTGCAGAGACTTATGATTTTCATATTTTCTGTTACAGTTCCAAGAATTCCACTGTGATGGAATGAAGACATAATTATTTTTATTTTTATTTATTTATTTATTTATTTATTTATTTTTAGTACTGGGGATTGAACTCAGGACCCTGTGCTTGCCAGGTAAGCACTTATTCTACTGAGCTCTCTGAATGGACACACAGACCACAATTATAGAAGGAGGCTTCCCTTCATTGTTTGTGAGAAGACGAAACTGTGGGCTTGCGTGGAAATTGCATGGCTCAGAGCTCCCCATGGTAACAATGGGTGCGGGGTCAGTGGGGTCTCGGCTTATTTTCCTCCCTTTGCCCCAAGCCCTCTGCATGCCCTTAATGTGGCAGTCAAACTGATTTCAAGTTGGAGTCTCCTGTCATTGCTAGTGTATAGTTCACTTGAGGAAACAGCAAGCAGAACGAATACTCAGCCATGTTGCATTGAATGATTCTTTAATTATTTGATAGTTTATAGGAAGCCTTTACCTGCTGTTAACTTGAGCTGAATTATTAATCCAGGTTAGCATGTCTTTATGACCACTCTGCAGTACCTTCTATCTCTGGGTCACTTTTCTCTTGCATACAGTGTGGGCTTTGGCACCCTCAACTCTCATCTGCAGCTGTCTTCCAAGAACCTTTCAGAATTTCAGTTTTTCTGATTACTGAATTTGGTCCCTTTACCATCATTTGAGATATACTCCCCACCTTTCTTTTACAGTTCATCAGTCAGGGTGGGTGTTGATTGGAATAGATTCCTAATCTGTTCATCCACTCTTTTAATTTTTTTAAAAAAATATTTATTTATTTATTTATTTATTTATTTATTTATCTGGTACAGGGTCTTTCTACCCAGCTGGGGCTCATAGAAATTCTCCTGTCTCAGCCTCCCCAGCACTGGGATTACAGTTGTGTGCCACCAGGCCTGGTTTTGGAAGCCCACACAGTGCACCTGGGGTTCCATGGCTGGCCATGGAACTAGTATGCGGTACTAGAGATCAAACTCGAGTCCTCATACTTGTCAGGCAGGTGCTTAGACTGCCGAGCTAGCTCCCCAGCCCCTATTCATCCATTATAAAGGTTACTTCATGTTCCACTTTGGTGAAGAAACCATAATCTGCAGTTTTCCCTTAATGAATAATGTGATAAATGAAGACCATTTTATGTACTACAGGTTATCTCCATAACAAACAATCACCAGAACAAAAACTCTTGACATGGGTTGTTATCAAAGTGGAACATTTACTCTGCCAGCTATAAAGATACATTGTAAACTACAGTAATAAATAGTGTTTTCAGATAAATAGAAATCTGAATTTTGCCTTTAAAACAGACTGTTTTAAGAAAGATTTGGGAGGAGTGGGAGGAGACAGCTACCCAAGGCAGAATGGCCAGGAGAACTGAGAACAGCTGAAAGGGTGGGAAACAAAGGCGCCCACTTGCGAGGTGAGGTCAGGTGGCGTCCTCTCTGTTAGGGAGCAGCTGCCCTACACCCTGTGCTGGCACAGGGTGGGGGCGCAGAGCTCAGTTCCCCACGAGGGTGAGAGAAACTGACTTGATGTAGCCAAGGCAGCCAACAAGAGCTCCGTGCTGATGGACTGCAGGAGACAAACAGCCCAACTCACCACTGGATAAAAGGAAGTGGGGCTTTGGAAGGACTCTCTTGGCTTTATTGCTATAAAGTAGTTACAGAAGCAATTGAGAGAAACTATATTTCCTCAAGCATTTCATCTACAGAATTTGTAACTCTAAGTTCATTCTCCATTCCTTTGAGATGAATAGAAATCCTTTTAAAAGTGAAATTAACCTTATCTGTGTTACAAACCAGGAAAGTTTATCTTAAGTTTTTATAGAGTCATCCAGAAAGCCAGGATCTTCTCTAAGTGTGTGGCGGTTTAGCCTGGGGACTTAGCTACACTTGGGGCTACCAGTTGACAAACAGATACAAGTTTCATCTTTTATTTGTATAACGACCATCACTGGGCACTATGATACCATGAGGGACTATGTGTTAGGCAGCTTTATAGAGTCAAACTGGTGCGATGGCAGCAGTGACTCAGTACTTTCAAGCCATATGAAGAAGAGCGGTTCTTTTCAATAATGATTTCACAGAGCAAGATGCATAAGACATTGAGGCATCTCTATTTTCCAAGATTTTAGGTCCAAGATAAAAGAAAACATTGTTAATGTTGAAGCAAAATTGCACAGAGACCAATAGAGCCGAGTACAACCCAAAAGTCACCTACAGACACACTGTATGAAAGGAATGTAAAAGCAGTCAGAATAGAAATGGCGTCATTTCCATCAACCTAAAAACATGAAAAGCATATAAATGGGAAGTCACAAAAAGGAGATCTCCTATGCAGTGCCCTCAGAGTAAACATGACAAATACCAACATGAATATCACAAAACACTGTAATGACCCTGAGCCTCCAAAACAGCTGTCACCACCCTGTACAAAATGTACTTCTACAAAAGCATCTGCCCTGCAAACGTGTGCCCCACCCCGGCTGACGTCATGCTTGCTGTTAATCACCAGGGCCAGCACAGACTGTCTCTCAACATCTGATGCAGCCCTCCCTCCTTTGCCTTTAGAAAGGCTCTGTGCCTCAAACCCATCGAACCCACCCAGAGTTTACTCTAAACATGCAATTCCTTCTGCCATGCTCCACTGTTCCAAAATAAATACCACTACTCCTCAGTAAAGCCCGACCTGAGTTTGTCTTTAAGTTTAAAGAGACAGTGGGTACCTGAATTAGGAAAAGGAGGCAGTGACAAAATACAACAGTTGAATGCTCTTAGTAACTGTGGCTGGTTGGCTGCTTATCATCACACTGGAAAAAATGGCCTTCCATCTTTTACACAAAATTTAATCATAGACTGTGAGATGGAAGGTAAAAATGTGGAAAGCACAATATTACAGGCCTTCTTCAGGGATACTGGATACTAAAGTTCTCACCAGCGCAATACCACAGTAAGGTCAGTTATGTAACATCTGCTTCCCAGTGCCTACAAATGTGTTGTTCGCACTACACGCCAGTCTATTAATACAACAGTGTGCAAAAAAACCAGTGTATATGCCTTAATTAAAAATAATGCTACAAACGCTGACAATCCAATGAGCCCTAAGAAGTCAAAACCTTTCTGCTGGTGGAGGGTCTGGTCTGGTCTGCATGCTGAGGGCTGCTGACCTGCAGGGCGGCCACGGCTGGAGACTGGGCTGGATGTGGCAAGTTCTTAAAATAAGATGACATGTAAGTTAATCACTTGATTGACTCTTCCTTTCATGCATGATTTTTCTGTAGGATGCAATGTTCCTTGTTAGCTGTTTATCTAGAGCAGAATATCTTATAAAACTGGAGTGACCACTCTCAAATCCTACTGCTGTTTTATCGAATAAGTTGATATAATATTCTAAGTCATATGTTGGCATTTCAAAGTTAACAGCATCTTCAAGAGAACTGTGCAAGTCTGCAAACCACTTAGTCTGTTAATGCAGAAGACGTTACTTTTCCTCCATTAAGGCTTTTTTTTTTTATCGTACTGGTACCTGTTAGTACCTATAATGATCACATTCCTCATCGGAACTTGTTCCTGTCCATGATGTGGCTTGCTTCTTTTTTCTTATTAAGGTTCTATCCTGCTATTAAGCCAGTTCAGGTCCCTTCTCAGGCTTGACTTCTACTTCGGGTTCTTTTGTTACTTCAACTGAACCTCCAATTACTTCCTCTACTGAGCTCTTGAACTCCTCAAAAGCAGGAACCGACCGCTTCCTATTTCCTGTTAAATCCCGTGTTCTGACCTCTTCTCATGAACCAGGAAGAAGATGGCCATTAAGAGTGCTAAATCTGGGCCAGCCGCATAGCTCAGAGGATTAAAGCACCTGCTTAGGCAGATGCAGGGCTCAGAGTTTCGAGCCCCAGCCTGCCATGCCAGCCCTGTCCCCAGGGTGTGCTGAGACAGTGATTGGGACTGGGCGTGCTTATGCGCCTATAATCCCAGGGCTTGGGAGGTTGAAAACAGGAGAATCACTATGAGTCCAATCTACATAGTGAGACATTGTAGACCCTGTAGACTCTGTACGAAATACAGTAAAAACAAAACAAAACAAAAAAAGAACAAAGCAAAACAGTGGTGAGTCTGTGCCAGAAGATCTTCAACTGGCCTTGCCCAGACCCATCACAGGGGTCACTGGCTCGAGCAGCCACCGCCTTACAAAGTCTAGTGCTTAAATAATAAACATGAAAACCAAATTATTCCTTTATCTCTGGGTTGAAGAATAAATACTGCGTGTCGAGCCACTAGCAGGGCAACCACATTTTTTCTCACTTTCCACAAGCATCTCAGGTTACGCATGGGTGGTCAATGAATTATAACATTTTGAAAAATTTTTTTTCCCAATCTGTACATACTTAATGTGGTCTTAAAAGTATTCAGCAAACAACTGAGGCATGTTGAACCTGCAGTTCACAGGCTGCTCACCCTCTTTACTTAAAGACGTTATAATAAAGAGACCTTAAAGTAAAGTTTGTTACTCACATACATTATGCTACAAATTTTACCCATGACCCAAGATAATGCCTTTTCACTCAATGTAAACCAAGAGTTTGGACACTTGGGCTCTTTGTCTCCACTGATAGGACACAGATAAGGATTTAGGAATATTCCTCGGGGTTCTGGGATGTTCAGAATGCTAAGTGTATGCTCTTTGCAGCTTTTATCCAGCTGTGTTAGTGTTTCACGAGAGAGCCAGCTCGTCTTTTGAGTTTGTAAGGCCAGGCAGATGTTTTCTTCTGCTTTTGTTGTCAAACTCCTCAGTGGCATCTTCGCTGAATAGAGGGCGGTTTCACCTACATGAGTCTTTGTCCATCGAGGCAGCCAGCTCCAAGTCTCCAGGCAAGATCTTTTGGATGAAGTGCCAGCTGCACTACTCAGTAGCACGTGCTGCC